CCCCTCCTCCCAATCGAGTGGGTGCACACAAAAGTGGACGAGTCAAAGGTACGAATTTTATCAGAATCCCTGGAGGAGGACCTGGAGTAAGGCATTTCTACCCTTCTGTGAAAGGAATCCGCAAGGGGTGGATCTTTCTTCCTTTTACTATTGTACGAGATCTAACTGCGAGCCACCTGTCAGGAACAACCCTTTCTAACGTTTACTGTTTACCCTGGGACTATTTCTATTTCGATTATATATATATACATATATATATATAAGTACAGTGGTAAAGGTCTTTAATGGATCAGCCATGTTTGGAGGGTATTTTGTTTTCTTGCCTTTCTCCTCCCTGCCCATTTATTTACTCTCATCACGTATTTATTTTTACTTTATCCAATCAATCTCAAAGTTACTTACATTCGTTCCATTCGCGGCGAGATGCATTGTGGGTCAAGTTTTTTTTATATATTTTTTATAATTATTTTTTTATCTCAAACTATTTAATTTAATATTGTGCATTTTGGAATGACTTCAGAGTTAATGCAGAATGTCAATTTTATTTCTATTTTTTTTTTTACGTCAATATCATTGCAGGACTTTACGTAAGTATATTTGAATTTGGATTTTTCTAGAAATCTTTACTTTTATTATGGAAATATATCTAGGTGAAAAATAAGCTTCAACCTTTCTTCAATACTTTGTTTTTCAAATACTGTGTATTTATTACAGTCCTCAAACGCATCATTCTTAAACCTCAAAAGGAGCATGCTATTTTTAGTCTTTTTTACTCGTCTTTAGAAACACTGTCAACCTTTAGAGTTTCATTTTTTTCCTTAGGTTTGTATTACCTTTCTTTTTACTTTTAACACAATTATATCTCATTCTAATTCAATCGAAAGATTAATATTGAATGGGTAAATTTAAAAGCTGCTAGATCATTTAATCTCACCGAATAAAAAAGTAATCGGTCTATTAATTGATTAAAATGCTCGAGAAAATACTGTTTTCAGATAAATTTATATGGAATATATGTAAATTCAGCAAATTCGCAATGTAAAGTAATGCAAAAGAGAAATTGTGGTGGAG